CCCAGAGAGTGCTTGAAGCACTATGGGGCGGTATATAAGCAGCACGCTTTGCTTTTTGTATTGTGAAGTGGCTTAATTAAGCAAATTAATCACTTCTTTAGCTCTGTGGAGGGCAGCAAATTTTCACTGCATCATTAAAAAAAATAGAAAATTCCTCCTGAAACTTTTATGTGCTTTCATTTAGATATCTGGTTGAGAACCTGGCCAATTTGGTTGCAGTGACCATTCACTCCCCATATAAACATATAAAAAACTATTTTGACTACCTTTGCCCTTCCATGGAGACAAGGGAGTGATTAATTTGCTACTATCTTTAACAATATTGGGAAAAGGTACAGACTAAATAGGGTCATTTGAGGTCTATATGCCATTTGGATGTGAGGATCACGCCCTGGCTAGATTTTAAATGGCATACTGAACCCCCTAGTGATCCTATTTAGCCCAATCCAGTGTCAATAAGTCATTTCACAATATTGGCAAATTCAAGGAAGCTCACTTTTGGTCCCTTTCTAGCGATCACACACACAGGAAACGGACCAAAATGAAGTGATCCTGTCCAAACCAAAAAAAGCAGAAGCTCCTAACAGGGCCTCAGGAAGGTGCAGGTAGGACCGCTCTGGAACCAGGCTGGTTTGCTTTACCAAAGGCATCATCTGATCACTGTCTTTGAAGCAAACCATCCCATCCCTGCAGTGGACCAACAGAAGACTAAATGCCCATGTAGTCAGCCTCTTAGTTATTATCACTAGAATTAATTTCATGTGATTATTAGATGCTACAAATGCTCAAAATGTTGCTAACACATTTCACCTTAAAAAGGTTATGTCATGTATGATTAAACTGCAAATATCAGTTAAGGAGAAACAAGCAAAATAAACTTTATTGTAAGAACGCCATGTAAGGGTTTGACTATATTGACAAATAATTCAGGAAATATTTCAGGATTGAGATGGTCTGATTTGCATTATTTTCTCTTGAATATATGATATAAAAGTCAGCATGAATCAGACCAAAGTTTCTGCCCTCTTATTTATTTATTTGTTTGTTTGTTTGTTTGTTTGTTTGTTTATTCTGCCACTGCTAGAGCTTCTACTTTTTTGGAATGAAATGCATTTGCTTCAGTTCAGACTGTGTTATTCTTTTTTCCCCTTTTAAAGACTTGCTAATCTTTTGGTAGGGCAGGTAAGTGACCAAAAGGGGGCAGTAAGGTCTTAGCAGACAGAGGAGGAGGAAGTTTTAAGGTATCTCTGTTGTAACTGTGTCTCTTGTGAATCTGGACAATCAGAAAATAGTCTCCTTTCTCTGTCATATGAACCTATCTGGGAAAACCTGACTCCCTGGGTGTGAGTTCACAACGAATCCATTCACATTTTTCCTGCTTTGTGGTCACATCCAGATAGGCAAGTTACTGAGGGCACTTCTATACTTGCTATATAGCTGGGATAGACCATTGGAGGTGGTCTGACCTAAGAAGGGAAGGGAAGTCATTCCTGAGAGTTATTTATATACATCACTGAGGGAACAAAACAGATCAACAAGAAGGGAACACTTTCTGCCTACACCAGTGCAGCCCCTCGTAGGCACCTGATTCATAGTTCCAGAACCAGGCCAACTTTCCTGAAGTATAGCAACCAAGATTCTGAGCTAAATTTTGAGATTTCTGTTCCACCAACACCTGCAAGTTATTTCAAGGGAAGCAAAAAGGATTTTGAAAAGCCTAGCAAAGTAAGGAAAGAATAAGTCTGGGGGCAGGAGTGGAGGAGGAAAGGGAAGAAAGTTCTAGCCACATGGAAAATATCCAACCCCCCCAAATATTGGATTAGTGACCAAATACCAATATTCTGCCTACACCAGTGCAGCCCCTCGTAGGCACCTGATTCATAGCTCCAGAACCAGGCCAACTTTCCTGAAGTATAGCAACCACGATTCTGAGCTGAATTTTGAGATTTCTGTTCCACCAACACCTGCAAGTTATTTCAAGGGAAGCAAAAAGGATTTTGAAAAGCCTAGCAAAGTTTTCAATTATGCTGTTGGAAAAAAAAAGTAAGGTAAGAATAAGTCTGGGGGCAGGAGTGAGGGAGGAAAGGGAAGAAAGTTCTAGCCACATGGAAAATATCCCAAAACCCACTAAATATTGGATTAGTGACCAAATACCAATATGAATTCATTGAGCTGAGTGATCTTTACATTCTGCTAACACATCAATATAGCCGCCTAGAGTGGTCCTGATCCGACCAGATAGGCGGGATATAAATAAAATAAAATAAAAATTTTTGTTGTCGGACAACTAGATACTAGGAAATATTTATAATCATGCATCAGTTTTTAAAAAGTCAGACTTTCCCATAATTTAGTATCAAATATTGGCCATAATAAAAAGTTGTAAAGTACAACAAATAATATGTGAATTGAAAATAACTGCTTACCTTTAGTCGGAAGCAAACCAGTCCTAGTATGACATCAGCACAGATTTCAAATCTGTCATCCTGAAGCACTAGGTCCTTAAACTCATGTGCTAACTTGACATGCTAAAAGTACAAAGAGAAGCTGTGTAATATATGGAATCAAAGTTCATCCAAAAAATATAAACAAATTGCTGGGGGGAAAAAAAGACTACCTACTGCCTTGAAGTCTTATTGCCATCCTGTGCTAACGTCAATGTAGCAGTTGTAGAAGGGGTAGCTGTGTTAGTTTTTAAGGTGCCGCCACATTTTTATCAATGTAGCAGCAGCTCATCTAACAGACAAATAGCTAATGTGGTGGTCTAGAACCACAAGGCTCACCTACATATGTTTTCTTGCCTACATATGAATCTACCTGCTCACAAAAATTGTTATTAGTCACTTGCTCACATTTTCTGGTAACGGTAAAGTGTGGTACATCAACACCTCCACATGCAAAAAGAATTAATTCCTTTTTATGTTCACTTGAAGGTGATTTTTGCTCTATATGTTCAACCAGGCAACTGACTAGCAATCTATCCTCTCTCCGTTCTTATTCCATAAAAGAATCCTAAAATTCTGTTTCCATTCTGACAGGAAAAATACACTCACATATCATTTGATCTCAATAATTCCCAAACATTGTGATCCTTTGAGTATTAAAAATACTGTTTTATTTAAAAGGTTGGATAATTAGTTTTAGGTTGCTGAGCTAGAGACTAGCTGTTGATCATGAAAGCAATGTCACTGGTAGATCTTCTTGTTCAGGCATTTTGCAGTCTTGGATTATGTTCACACACCATGCTTTCAAGCTAAACTGATGGGGAGCCATGTTCATAAACCATGAGATTGACTGGATGCCTCTTTCCATGTTTAGACAAATGTGCTCCTTCTGGCAGTACTTACAAGCAAGATATTCATTATAATACTCTACAGAAAATGCCACATGGCCTTTAGGCTTGGGATATGCCATGATAATCGAGAGGCTTACATTTAATATATGACTTTGGTTAAAAAAGTGAATGCCTCCATCCACATTAGCCTGTCATTAAGACCATCTTCTTCAGTGAAGGCCCTGCATGACTCCTAAAGTGAGATGTAGTGCCCTGTGGGGCATTTTCAGGATGAGGAACAATGTTCACTGTGTTTGCAAGTAGGTATATTGATGTGTGCTTGTATGAGTGCGTATTACCCAGTGTTATTACCCAATGAAAAGCATCCGGGCAATCATACAGGGGCACAAATGCTAGAAATTACTTTAACAGTTTGAGGATGTGTCCCCAGTGTACATTTCTGGCACACGTCCCCTATGTGCTTTCCTGGAACCAGTTTATTCTACAAGGAAAGCAGCTCTGATAGTCTCCATATCAAAGAAAGAATAAATAATTTACAATTTGTCAGAAAACTGTGTATGCTAAGAAAAATAGCTATAGATACTGTTGCTTTCAATCTGTTTTACAGAACACCTTAGCATTCACCGCAAGAAGATTAATAATGGCCAGCTCACTGCTCTCAGGACAGCTTGCCCACCAGGACAGATCATCTCTTTTAAAAAATGTAGGACATCCTCAAAGACAACTTCTAGGGGTCCACAAAAGTGAGGATCACTTAAAAGCTTTTGTAACATATTTTGCAGCTTATTTATTGCACATTTAAGAGGCACTAGACACCCTCTGAGTTTATGTTGGTTATGTGATACATTAGAGATATTGGAAAAATTTAAGGAGAGGAAACCTGCACTCATACTTTGACCAGCATGGCTGTAATCCTATAGCCAGTCATGAAAAGAGTGGTTTTACATAAGATGATGTCTATGTTCAAGTGATCTGATTGGAAATTGGCAAGAACTGAATGTAAACAGAGAAAATGGGCATGGTTCCATGGCAGACAGATCAAAGTAGAGAGGATTCCAAGAACTTAGGAGCTTTGAAGACAACCATTTGAGGCATCAAGGGTCACGTGATATTAATATCAAAACGCATGGAAGGTATGAAATAAACTGTATTATACCATAACACAGTAAATATATTATGCATATTTAACATGGTTGTTAGTATATATCCAGTAGGATAAATCTTGAAGCTCAGTTCTAAGACAGTATGACAACATTGTTCCATGACCAGAATGCTACCGTTGATTTGGGTGTGCATAAATTAAGTAGAGCTTACGTCATAGTGGTGAATTGCTAATTAGCAGCAGGTTGCTGCTAATTAATGAAATGCCAGTCATATTTCTGTTACATAACTGGGTGCACAACCTGGAAGCCACTGTTAAGACTTAAAAGCGATTTCACTTACACATGTATAAATCAATAGGATTTTGGCCAGCAGTTAATTTCACTTTTTGTCCCAATAACTTATTTTTGCTCTTGAAATTGATTTACTTGGAAAATCCCACATCACTGCTTAAAACCTCTAATTGCCAGTGCTAAGTATTTCTGTTCCAATTACTGTTGTCCTACATTTAAAACTTCAAAGAAAAAAAAAACAGATGCAATGCTTGAATTTTCTTCTAAAGAAATTGTAGTAGCTGTTCTAGTTTTAATTGTAATTATTTATAATGGCTTGTAGTTGTTTAAAATTGTAATGAGCAGTAATTAATAAAGCCACTGGAGGGCACTAAGGTCTTTGGGTTTTTCAGTGTTGTAAAGACTTAGGTGGTGCCGTATCTATAACAAGACACTTTATATCTCAATCTTGTTCATACTGATTTAAAGAAAAATTAGTTCCTCACATGTTTATTACAGTGGTGCCTCGCATTACGACGTTAATTCGTTCCAGCGAAATTGCTATAGAACGAAAATGTCGTAATGCGAAATTTAAAAGCCCATAGAAACGCATTAAAACCCGATTAATGCATTCCTAGGGGCTTGAAACTCACCGTCCAGCGAAGATCCTCCATAGCGTGGCCATTTTCGCTGCCTGTGCAGCAAGGAATCCATCCCAGAAAAGAGCGGGGAGCCATGTTTTTTTACCTGGTGGCCATTTTGAAACTGCCCATCAGCTGGCAGAAAATCGTTGCGTTGCGATGATCGGTTCCCGAAGCAGGGAACCAATCATCGCAAGGCGAAAAACCCCCATAGGAAACATCATTTTGCGATTGCAAAACCTTCAACCTAAAGCGATTTCATCATAAAACAGAGCGCTCGTAATGCAAGGCACCACTGTACTTCCAAGTAAGTATATACATGGAAAATTTGCATTTTAAAAACTAATTACAATGATTATTTTTTGAAAATCAAATCTTACTACAAAAGTGCTTGTTATGTGAGACACTTTACATGGTATAATCAACCTTTAATCTCACAGTTGTATCCACTACAATAAAATAAGGATGCAATCAGATGGCTGGAAAATTGTATGTCCACAAAGGGTCACTTCAGCAGAAGTGTTCTCTCTTAAAATGACCCCTTCCACCTGCCAGGGAACTGCTCTTGCTGGGTCCCAAGTTGTAGCCCTACAGATGGACTTAAAAGATTCACGTTGGTCACATATCATGATCAGGCTGGTATGCAGTGCCAACAGTGGTCCAAAATGTGACTGATTTCTCCATGTTCAAGTTCAAGTTTATTGTATTAGCCAAAAGCTGTCACAATTGTTTAAAATACATATAATCAGACTCTAACACAACTACCCTCCCAAGGTTTTTGTTATAATGCTGCTGTTGCAAAGAAAGATTTTTAGAGGCCACAAAAAGATTTTGTGCAGGGGGGTAATTGGCTATGTTAGAGAAATGTTTTTAAATGAATGTAGACACCATTTTCTATCTATGAATAAAATGCCTCCTGTCCATAGTGCAATACTTGCCTGTTTGGCATAATTCAGGATATTTCCCCAAAAGATAAACACTCACTTGAGAAAATAGTATTAAGTAAATGTTTAAACATTTAGGGTGAAAGCCCTATTTGCATCAGCAGTCAGTAAAATCACACATGCTTTTCCTGTTTCGAAACCCAACTCAGCCTATAAACTGAGCCTAATGTGTCAGTGATGTATATATAACCATAAGATATAATATACATAAAACCAAAAGCCCATAATCTTTATACAGAAGAATTTGGAGGGGTAAATAAAGACTAGAAAATGGGTTGATAAACATTAGGTTCATTCTTGGGTGATTTACATCATAAATTCTTTCCTATGTGCATGGGATATGCTGTCAAGTTAATTCTGACCTATGATGACTCTAGCAGAGTTCCTGATGTATGTGAGCTTTTTAAGGGGTGGTTTTGCCAGGGCCACCTCCCTATAAGTGTTCATGGCTGAATGCGGAGTTAGTGAATCGTGTTTCCCTGAAAATAAGACAGGATCTTATATTAACTTTTTGCTCCAAAAAACACATTAGGGCTTATTTTCAGGGGATGTTCTCTTATTTTCATGTACAACACTCTAAATTTATTCAAATACAGTCATGTCATCTTCTTCTGGTTGCTGCACAACGGTGGAGAGTGGGGTTTCACTTAACTGGGGCTTATTTTGGGGGGTAGGGATTATATCACGAGCATCCTGAAAAATCATACTAGGGCTTATTTTCAGGTTAGGTCTTATTTTAGGGGAAACAGGGTAATTGCAGGTCTCCATCCAACACTTTGTCTACTACATTACACTGGCTCCAACTTGTAGGGATGAGGCTAGATGGAGATGCAGTAGCAGATACCATGAATGCATGCAAATACATGCAATTTTCATAGTAGAACAGTCTTCTACATAATGTGCACTGCCTTGAGGCAACTGGACTCATACTAGTGGGCAATAAATGTAACAAACAAATAAGTAAGACAAAGTAGGGGATATTTGTATCCCAACTTCCAATAACGCTTCTTGAAAGACTACTTAGAGATAACTAAATCAGAAACTAAAGAAGAAGAAAAAGAACAATGTCATCTTCTTCTGGTTGCTGCACAACGGTGGAGAGTGGGGTTTCACTTAACTGGGGCTTATTTTGGGGGGTAGGGATTATATCACGAGCATCCTGAAAAATCATACTAGGGCTTATTTTCAGGTTAGGTCTTATTTTAGGGGAAACAGGGTAATTGCAGGTCTCCATCCAACACTTTGTCTACTACATTACACTGGCTCCAACTTGTAGGGATGAGGCTAGATGGAGATGCAGTAGCAGATACCATGAATGCATGCAAATACATGCAATTTTCATAGTAGAACAGTCTTCTACATAATGTGCACTGCCTTGAGGCAACTGGACTCATACTAGTGGGCAATAAATGTAACAAACAAATAAGTAAGACAAAGTAGGGGATATTTGTATCCCAACTTCCAATAACGCTTCTTGAAAGACTACTTAGAGATAACTAAATCAGAAACTAAAGAAGAAGAAAAAGAACAATGAAGCCTTAGTCCCAAAGTAGAGTTTATCCAAGGACGTTTACCCTATTACAAAGCAAACACTATGAGATAAACAATCTTTATTCAAATATGAGCCTTCCACACCAAGGTTTTATTGTGCTTCAACTACCTTAAATCCTACCTTCAGTTCAGAATGAAGAAATTATGGCAGCATGTTCAAAAATGGACTAGAAATAAAGAGAGTAAAAACTACAAATCCTCTCTACCTTTCCCTTCTGTTGCAGGAAATATCAAGTGGAAGAATTAACTACCAAGGGAAAATACTAATACTGTAATGGAAGCAGCTGTGATCAGCTTTTTCGTGAGCTTCCAGTGAACCACTCAGCAATGCAATATATGTCCATAATGCAGAAGGAAAGCCCAGAAAGCTCAATGGAATGTTGTCATTTTCCTTTTCTAGTTTGTCAAAAAACAACAGGTAAGTAGCATCACAAAAAGAACTCTCAAGAAATAACTTCCATCTTTCCACTTAAGAAAGCAGAAAGCTGTCTTGTAGAATCTTCTCCCTCCCCGTCTTTCAGGTCAACATTCTAAGAATAGAAGACATGGGCTGAAATTCTATTGCAGCAGGGAACTACACCCAGACAGTCTGCATTGTGTGTCTGCCTATGCAACCGATTGAGTGACTAGTTACACAACTACATCTGAAGAACAGTTTGCTAGATAGGGTTCCTCCTTGTTGTGAATTTTGCAACCACTTGTGCAACTTTGAGTTATGCAGGCATAGCTACACAACATGATTTTGGTCATAACCATCCACATCAATAGATTCATATTAAAAAGTATGTAAGTTAGAGAAGGCAGGGGGAGCTCTTTCTGGATACCATTCTACTACAGATACAGAAATTTCCCACAATATTCAGAAAAGTGTGGGTATTAGTTTGTGAACTGATTTAAAAGGTTTGAATTAAATATGCTCTCACAAAGGGCAGTCAAATGTCTCTTTCATCTCATTGTGCTCCCTAAGTATTCAGTGGTAAAATAAAACACATTTACCTTCCGAATGTGTTCTTGTAGTCCTTTCACACCATACATTCGAAATACAAACCACAGTTTCAAGGAACGGAATCGTCGGCCCAGAGGGATCTGCCAGTGCTGCAGTTAAGACCACGACATGTTACTTTTGATACAGTGAGGAATTTGAATCAAGAAAAGAAACTGCCTATTATATTCAGGCTTTTCAGCAACCATGAGGATTGTGTCTATTTTTTAGAAAATACTGAATGAACAAATGTGTTCACTTCTGTATTTCTTTGGATAGAAATATGTGGCTAATGAACATGGCTGAAAATTAATATTTTGCTTTTTAAACAGACAACTGAATTATTCTGATAAAAATGAAAACAGAAATAAAAAGAGATATCCGTACTAATGTTCTGGTTTGATCATGTCTTCTACTTACCCTGTAATCTGTTATAAGTCCTGTGCATAAAGAAGGGAAAAAAGATAATGTAAAAACAGGTAAAGACACATTCACTAATGATATACTACATAGAACAGTTCAATCCTTGAAACACTTCAGTTGACAGAAAGCTGAATTTAGCTGAATGGGCTTCCAGTCAGAAAATGGCCTTTCACAATAACAAATCTTGGAAATATCCAGGTTGATGCTGTGCTAAATGTTGAAAAATTTCTACTATTTACAATATTGAAATGCTTTCTGTATTGGAAATTCTGTGCATTTTTGTTTGCGCCTGCTGTATGATCAATGCCTCGCATACATTTGCTGACTGGTAGAATGGAAGAACTAAGTTGTAGCTTTCTCTAAGCATAAATATCACTATGTGTTCACACAGAATAAAAGATGCACATCTGTTCCATGTGTGTTGAAGACAGGTATTTTCCATGCAAAATACTGCACTTCACTTAAGTTTGTTACAAGATAATGTAGACCTACTTTTCCACTTTCTGGAAATCCTGAACTTTCTAGCCCATTGATTATTTCTCCCCTTTATTGAAGAACTATAGTTAGTTATGTGCTGTCAAGTCAGAACCAACTTATAGCAACCCTACTAGGGCTTTCAAGATAAATGAGGTAATTTTAAGGAGTGGCTTTGCCAGTTCCACTCCCCCAGTGAGTTTTCATGAGTGAGCAGGGAATTAAGCACTGGTCTCCAGAATCCTGGCCCATCACTCTATCCACTGCATACTGGATACCAAGAAGTATAGATCCTACTTGCAAAAAGTTTCCATTACAAAGCAATGTTTTTGCAAGAAGGGTTCAGTTATAGAATTTACATGAAACATGGGGCTAACCAACATTGTATCATTTATATCTCAAGAAAGAGTGGCATTTGTTTTCCTTGATACCCACTACGTGACATAATTAAACAGCCAATTCTGACAATCCATATGTCACATTCACTGAGAGCTAAGGAGAGGAGATCCTATGGTGTGTCTACCACCCTGCTGCTACTACTTCAGGTGTTTTCCTCCAAATTGATCAATCAATCAATCGATTTGGATGAAAACACCTAAAGTTTTCAATTGATTGATTCATTGAGGGATAGATAGATCAATTAATCAATTAATTAATAAATCAAAATTTATCTTTACCCTGCCTAACTAGTGACAGAGCCACTACTCCAGGTGAAAAAGTACACAACAGACCCCCATCCCCCCACAAAAAAAATAATAATCACATAACCTGCAGGCAAGGAACAAAATAACCAAAAATAAAATAACTAATAAAGAATAGTAACTATAAAATAGTTATAAATATCAAATACAATAATATTAGGTGGCAAAAACAGAACAAGTTCATAAGTACAAAAAAAGTCCAACAATTCAAGTGAGATTACTCTAGAGTAAGGCCATAAAAGGTTTGTGAAAACAGCCAGGTTTTAACTTGTCTCCTAAAACCAAGGAGAGATGGGCTAATCGTACCTCAGGTGGGAGCAAGTGGGATGGGTAGACATTTTGAGAGATAGGCTTTCAGACAGGCGGAAAGGTCCCAAACCATTGAGGGCGTTAAATGTTAATAGAAGCACCATATTCTAAAGTATGCTGGGCTAATCTAGCTGTAGTGAAGTTTCTCATGAATATTGTCAGAAGCATAACATCCTATAAACTGCTATAGAATAGCTTACAGCTATAAACTGTTAGCTAAATGCAACTGCTTGCCGAAACAACTAAACCATTGAATAAATTGTCAAACTGTAAGTCAACACATACTTACATTCGACTGATTCAGTGGCCAAAATCATACTGCAAAATATTGCACACGTAAGGGCAATCACACAAGTGATTATATTTTTCCAGTCATCTGTCATGAGACCAGGTACATAACCAAATGTGCAACAAGTTGTGCAATGTGGACATGCCAGAATACAAGTGACAACAGCAAGATTGTGCACACTGCTTGCATGATTTCCAGTTGTTTGTTGTTGTTTTTGTTCCTGCTGCTGTTGTTATGTGTTGTCAAGTCACTTCTGACTCATGGCAATCCTACGAATAAACAATCTCCAAAATATCCTGTCCTGAATAGCCCTGATCAGCTCTTGGAAACTCAAGCCTGTGGTTTCCTTTATGGAATAAATCAATCTCATATTTAGTCTTCCTCTTTTCCTGCTTTTCCCAGCATTCTCCGTCTTTTGCAGAGAATTTTACCTTCCCATGATGTGCCCAAAGTATGACAGCCACAGTTTCAGCTTGATTTGCTCTGGGACCCACTTGTTTATCTTTCTGACAGTCCAGGGTATCTGCAAAACTCTCCCCCGGCACCATATTTCAAATGAACCAATTTTTTCCTGTTAGCTTTCTTTACTGCCCTGCTTTCATACCAGTGCATGGTGATCAGGAATACCAGAGTGTGGATAATCTTGGGCTTAGTCTCCAGTGATACATCCTTACACTTGATGATGTTTTCTAATTCCTTCATTGCTGCTCTTACAAGTCTCAGCCTTTTTCTGATTTCTTGGCTTCACTCTCCATTTCAACTGAGATTGAATCAAGGTACAGTGGGGTCTTGACTTGAGAACTTAATCCGTATTGGAAGGCGGTTCTCAAGTCAAAAAGTTCTCAGGTCAAATCTGCATTTCCCATAGGAATGCATTGAAAACCATTTGATCCGTATCTGCTCTTTTCCGTCCATAGAAACTAATGGGAAGCTGCTATTCCACCTTCGGCCACTAGAGGGGGATATTTTGTTTCTTTTTTTCTTAGGTCAAGAAAGGTTCAGGGAAGGCAGGGAAAATCCAGTCCAGGCAGTACAGTATCAGGCAGTCCGAAGACTGTCTCCCAATCCACAGGCACCCTTTCCACTGGCCAACAGTTAACTGAAAGTTCAAATTTTGCACTTTCCCTGCCTCCCACGTGGATTTTTTCAGTTCTTAACTCAAATCTAAGTACTTAAGTCAAGTCAATATTTTCCTATGAGAGCGGTTCTTAAGTCAAAATGTTCTTAACTCAAGCCGTTCTTAAGTCAAGACCCCACTGTATACAAAATCTTCCACCAATTCAGTTTCTTCATTGTCAGTGTTAAAGTTGTGTAGTTCTTCTGTAGTCATACTCTTAATGTTCAACTGCAGTGCCATATTTGCATGTTGTTGCACTTTCACTAAGTCATTTCAAGTCATGCCTGGCTGACAAATTTATCATCCAAAAGGTGGAGGAGGGAACTAGAGGGTCAGCCATACTGGACAATACTTACTAATAGGGAGGAAAAAGTCAAGGGAGTGGAAACTGTAGGAACTTTACAAGAAAGTAACCATATTAGAATTCACCATGATGCATGCAAGGGTAACTGTAGCAAGTCAGACTAACGTTCTAGATTTTAAGAGAGCTGACTTTAACAAACTAACAGATGTAACAGGAAGGATTCCATGGATGGAAATCCTAAAACAGTTCGGGATGCTTGGGAATCCCTGAAAGGCAAGATAATAAAGGCCCAAACAAAAACAATACCACAGAGAAATAACAAGAGACATCTGACAACACCGGCATGGATGCACACAGAGCTCTTTGACAAGCTAAGGGGGATATATATATAAATATAAACCAAAAAAGGGGGCTCATAACTAGAACAGAATACCAGCAAACAGATCGAATCTGCAAAGATGGAGAGGAAGTTAAGGCTCAGAATAAGCTAAGACTTGCAACAAATGCCAAAAATAACCCAAAAAAGTTTCTTTCAACATGTAAGGAGCAAGAGGAACATCAAGGAAATGGTTGGTCCACTAGTGGGAGAAGATGACAAGAGGGTGACAGGCAACAGGGAGAAAGTAGAACTACTTAATTCTCTTTCTGTATCTGTATTTACCCAAAAGGGAAAATTGGTCCACCCTCTCAAAAGCAGCAATGTGGGAGACAGGAGAGGGGAGCAGGTCAAAATAGGTAAGGAGCTGGTAAGAGAACACCTAGCTGCTTTGAATGAGTTCAAGTCTCATGGACTGGATGGTTTACATCCCAGGGTGCTGAAAGAACTGGCAGATGTGATCTTGGAACCACTGAATGAAATCTTTGAGAGACCCTGGAGCATGGACAAACTGCCCGAAGACTGGAAAAAAGCTGATGTGGTTCCAGTCTTCCTAAAGGGAAAAAAAATGGATCCAGGAAACTACAGACCAATCAGGTTGACATCAGTACCTAGGAAAATCCTGGAAAAAATAATCAAGCAGCAGATTGGGGAGCACCTAGAAAAATAACAAGGTCATTACTAGAAGCCAGCATAGGTTTGTTAACAACAGGTCATGCCAAACAAATCTTCACTGATAAAGTGACTAAATTAGTGGGCCAAGGAAACACAGTGGATATAATATACTTAGACTTCAGTAAAACATTTGATAAGGCAGACCACAACCTATTTCTGTGTAAGATAGACAGCACAACTACCATATGGATTTGCAGCTGGCTGACCAACTGCATTCAATGTGTGGTCCTCAATGGAACCACATCTACATGGAGGGAAGCCTGCTGTGGGGTCCCTCAAGGTTCTGTCTTGATCCGAGTGCTCTTCCACATCTTCATAAGTGACCTGGATGAGGGGATTGAAGGAGCATTCATCAAATTTGCTGATGACACAAAGCTGGGGGGGAATTGCTAATACTTTAGAAGATAGACTCAAGATTCAGAAGGATCTAGACATACTTAACCATTGGGCCCTATCCAATAAGATGCAGTTCAGTGGCAGGAAAAGTAAGGTCCTGCACTTAGGCAGGAGAAGCCAGATGCACAGGTACATTATAGGTGCTACGTGGCTCAACAGTAGTACCAGTGAGAGGGATTTAGGTGTCCCGGTGGACCACCACCAAAGGATGAGTCAGCAGTGTGCTGCAGCTTCCAAGAAAGCCAACAGTCCTAGCCTGCATCAACAGGGGGATAGCATCAAGATCATGGGAAGTGATAGTACCACTCTGTACCGCCCAGGTGAGGCCACACTTGGAGTGCTGTGTCCAGTTCTGGTCACCACAATACAAAAAAAG